TACACGGTATGTTCTGTCTATCGGACACCTGTAAGTTCTTTGATCAATTTAGATCGATTCTCTTGGCATTTAAATATCTCCATTTTCTCACATTTAAATGTCTAACAATCGAAAACTCAATCCTGTTTAAAAAAAAATTAAAACCGGCAAGACGTTTATAAGAGTAAAATTTTAAAAATTGAATAAAGAATAAAATTTTAAAAATTGAATAAAGAATAAAATTCTTGTTAAAGCAAAATTAAAATGAATTTTTTCGCTCACACACAATATACAAACTTATCCCATATGTGCAGAGTTTCAATCATTATTCGTGAAGAACTGACGTATCAAAAATTTTCATTCATTCGGGAAAATTTCATTTTCACTCGGAAAATTTCAACTTTTCAACATGTTAATGAATCTATAAATAAAATTGAAAAGGGAAGAGATAAGAATGGTCTGGTACTAATAACGGAAATAGAAATGCCAGCTGACGTCAGAGAAACCACGAAAGGTATATTGGATTAGGGGAATGTTGCCTCTGTGTGAATATAATTCTGTATCATTTCGAGAAAAGTTTTGATTGGAAATTTAATATTGTTATGGATGCACAAAGACTCTACATTTTAGTGCAATCATCCTCATTACGTCAATTATCTCGCGTGGAAAATGTCATAGGCAGCTCTTGGAAAAGAAAAAGAAAAAAAAGATAGAAAAAAAATTGCTGCCTCGGACGCTCTGTGGCAGCTTAATTTTATCGGACGCCTGTTTCCACCATCGCGTCAGCGACTCCCTCTTCCCCTCCCCCTCTTACCCTTTCTTTTTCTCTCTGCCAAGCTCTTTTTCTTTTCGCGGCTCGAGACGCATTCCTAGTAAAAATAAGCGAGTTTCTCCGACGTGGTTTCTGCAATCGCGAAAGAAGGAATCTTCGTCGCTGCCGCCGCCGTCGGCGCGTCGTCGCCGTCATGCTTTCAGTGCAATACACCGGCTTCATGATGCGTCCGACATACGCAACTGTGCAACGTAGGAAAGATGAATAACGGGATACCGACGCGAGAAAAATCTCTCTCTTAAATGTATAAAACCACTGCGATCACATAGAAAGCGTGAGCATAATTCTTTTTGGATGCAACTCAAAGAATAGAGGAAATATCCGAAATATCTATTGTAGAATTTAAAAAAAAATATTGAGTTTTTTTTATATTTGGCATAATAACGTATCTTAAACTAGATAAAAAAAAGCATTAACTGCGGTTAAAATTGTAGATGTTGGAATAATAATTCTATATGTAATTAATTAAAAATGTACTTATATTTTATATGTATGACATGCTGATTACTTTTGAACTTGCAACATTTTTGAATTGAGCTAAAATAATAATAATCTTATAAATTATATGTATCTATTTAATCATTGACTGGAAGAATTATCATTGGGATAAACCTCTACTGAGATAATATTTTTCACAATAATAATAATAATTTGATCTTCAAATCGACAATCAAATTTAATTTGTGAGATTATTATTTTAATTTACTATTATTATTATTTTATTTTATTTTGATTACGTGCAAGTCCGAAAGTAATTGGCGCCCAGTCATCTGAAGTAGTAGTAATAATAGGGGAGATGGATCGAATCAGTCTCTACATGTCTGAATTTAGTCAAACATCATCTAGATCTAAAAAAATCTTCTATAACTCCAGCTAAGCCAGTATGGATTACGAAATTTTCCATATATACGAGACGCGGAATTTGAATTCGCGACCTGTCGGTTATGGGTCCGCCACTCTCATATGAAGCTACGCAACATCCCGCCTATATCTGAAATAAATGTATATATTTGAAATAAATCATATATAGAATTATTGTTCCAGCAAATACAACTTTGATTTTAGTTAAAATTTTCTCTTATTTAGTTAATTTTATACTCGTATAATATAGCAATCTTGTTTCAAACTTATTAATAATGCTTAATTCGTCCTCTTTTGGTGAGCCTGTTTTCATTTCTGAAAATATGTACCTGTGTTTCTGTCGTCAGTATAATTTTATCTTTTCTATTTACCTTTGCTTTAAGTGACTATTTAATGCTAAGTTGTAAATGGAAAATTTTATCTAACACGATTGCTAGCAATAAAATATATGGTAACGGAATTTTACATTTTATATAAATCTTTGTTACAGCACGAAATACTTTTTGTGGCTCAATTATGACTCATCTATCTGTAAACATATAAATCCGAAATAAAAATTCACATTGTGATAATAAAAGATAAAGTCCCCGCATATCTGTCATTAGCGATAATTTTGTCGTACAATTCAAAATAATATATGTATGTATACAAAGCAGAAAAAAAGATTTCTCTGTCTATTTCTCTTTTTCTTCTCTTTTATACGGTATGTATATGCAGCACAGATATAGAATAAATTCTTGAATTGTGCAGCTAAAAAACGAACAATAGTTGTCACTGATTACGCTGTGAGAGCATGAGTTCTATATTTTTCCGACATTTAAATTTATTTCAACAAAACACATAATCTATAAATGACAACAATATTGCGTAATTATTTTCCTCAGAGAATGACTAATTCACACTCATTTGAGTTTAGCAAATTCCCAGATCCAAGCTCAAATACACTGCAGACTCGCATACATTTGCACATCATGTACATTCATACACATTAATTCTCTGGAAATAGCAAACATTTGTGGAAAAACGAAAGCAAAGTACCTACAATCTAATTTAAAAATATTGAGAAGATGAAAATCAAAATATGAAAATTAAAAATACAGGCTCCACGTACGTGTTAAATATATTATAAATGGCATAATAAAAGATAAAGCTCTCAGTTTTTGTTCGTATATCTCTTAATTAAAAACAAATTCTATGGACTGGAGTTACTTTGATTAGAAGCCTGATCGCTCTTGATTCACTAGCCGGCATTTTGTGCACCAATTCTCTCCTTTCTGAAACCGACAGCGTGTCGCTCCAAGTAATCTCTCGTTGTTAAATTAACAGGCAAGGAGGAAATTATATGTATAATTACCGACAATTTAATTTAATCCAAAAGGCGTTACTTCTAAATTGCATTAAATATACATTTTGTATAAAAATAGGAATTATATATTATTATAAATATATATTAATAATTATATATTATAAATCTGTTCTATTCAATTTTATAGCGCATAATTTTCATTTTATGAGTGGCTTTAAAATATTTATTATTCTCGATGTTTATCATGATGTTTTTCTCTTTTTGCTTTTTTGCTCACAGTTGTAACTGGAAAATATAAACAAGCGTATTACATAATGATAAATTGCATAATAATTTGTATTGTATTGCGAAACATTCTGCGCTTTTGTCCAATAATTAAAAATAATATGTTCCATCCAATATTCTCGTTGTTGATTTATCACACGTGCAAAGGAAGCCTTGCGTGTGTTAACGGTCTATAAGTGAAAATTAAAAAGAAAAGGGAAAAACACTCGATTCAAGTGAGATAGTGCGCTACAAGGATACATGCAAAAATAAGCAGTTTTAAACTTTATCAGGATTTCCATCATGCTTCTTAAAAAAGATCTAAAATTACGCGTTTTTATCATACTCTTTTTCTGCGCGAATTCTAGCGCGTGCAAAAAAAAAGAAACTACGTAAAAGCTAAGTTCTGTATGAATTCGTTATGCGAACGCGATGCTGGTAACTGAGAAAAATTATTCGTGAATATTCTGAATAGAATACGTAATGGAACGTACACAGTAGTTCAAAATTCAATTTTTTTACAAGTAATTTCCTAGAACGCGTCTTGGCATAGTTTGCGTTTGAGTTTAAACGCATTCCAGATTTAAAAAGAGATGCTTTCGTGCAAAATCATGTTGCGACACTTATACTACTTAGTAATCAAGAACAATTTAACTGGAAGCAAAGGTGTGATTGTGAATACACACAATCGTATTTTATTGTGCAGTCTGTCGGTCTTGCAATTCAAATCACTCGATAGCATTCTATTATAAAATAAATGTAGTATCTTTGTTTACTTGGAATAAACAAAATGTAACAAGTTCATAAAAATTCACATATACAAAATTATCTTTATTGCAATAAAAAATAATGTTCATTTGTCGAATAATTCCATTGCATTAACATATGTCTAGTTAAATATTTTATAAAAGATTATATAATTAAAAATTTAAATTTTATATTAATATTTTATATGTATATA